GCATCATAGGAGCAGAAAGGTTTTTTCTGATGAAGGGTCTAGGCCCGAAACGTCAGCCTCTCTGCTCCTATGATGCTGCTTGGCCTGCTGTGTTCATCCAGCCCTGCACCTTGTAATCTTTTCACAGCCAGGTTTTCCAATAATTATAGCAATAAACCCCATTTCTTTGGGAATTTTGCTTGGCTGCTCTCTCCAAAGTCACTTGATTTTTCTGTAAACAGCAGGCATCTTAGAATACACAAACTGTTGACCTCACTCCAAATACTAAACATTGTTTGACCCAGAAAGTAGTCAAATCATTCAATACTTTCCAATTGTTTCACATCTAGCATTCTCCACACTTTCAAAGTGGATGTAAAATTCACTCGTTATGGTCAGTACTACCTAGGGCTACCTTCACACTGACATTATTAATTAATCCTGTTACATAATATCGTGTAATATAACCTCCTGTCTGATAGGTTCCAGAAGATGTTGCTCTAAGAAAATTTCTCAAAAACATTCAACGCACTTCTCTTCCAAGCTACCACTGCAAATTTCATTTTTCTAGTTTATATGTGAATTTCAAATCACCAATGATTATTACCATCCCTTTATCACAATATTTCTTCTTGTCTACTTCAATCCTCCATTGTGGTTACACTTAGGGGACGTGGAAACCATTCCCACTAGTGATTTGTTTCCCGATTTCTTATCCACAATCAAACCAATTCTACTGAATGAAAGTCATCTTTTACTATTCTAATATCTTATTTCCATGCCTATCTTCATTGTCCACCCATTCTTGAATATCATGTGCCCCTTGAGGTAGCCATATCTCCATAACAGCCATTACATCCTTATTCACTTCAATGTGTGCTGTCAATTCATTTTCTTGATAAGGAATGCCAAACAAAGCCCTTAGTTTTTGTAACATCCCTGCCAACACCTCAGCCAGAATAGACTTACCAATCCATTAGCCTCCTTTTCTCCTGCCCTACAATTTACTGTGATTGTTTGAAATTATACATTTGCACCTGCTTTGAAAAGTGCAAGATAAAAAGATTCAGTAACATTTCTCTTTCGACCGTCTTCAAGTTCTGCACTACCAAACAAGCATAACCACGATGCAGAGGTGCCAGTGTTGGATTGGGGTGGACAAAGTCAGAAGTCACACGACACCAGGTTATAGTCCAACAGGTTTATTTAAAATCACAAGCTTTCAGAGCACTGCTCCTTCATCAGGTGAGTTCTGACTTTAAACAACCATAACCATATTGGTCTAAAATCTAGCACAAAAGTCAGGCAGCACCTGTGGGGAGACAATAGGTACCTGACCCAAGATTTACAGTTGTTTTCTGGATTTATTGCTTAAAGTTACCTTTATTAGTTTCAGCCTGTGTTGTCAAGTTCTATTCCTGTAGTAAAATTTTAAGTAATGTTCAATGTTAATTTTTACACACTCACTGGTATGCTTTCAAGTCAGAATGGTACATGGTTCCGAGGAGAACTTGCAGATGATGTTCTTGTTCATCTGCCCTGTCCTCCTAGACAACAGAGGTTGCAGGTTTGGAATTTGCTATCAAAGGAGCCTTGGTCAATTACTGGTTACCACTGAAATGACATATTCACTGGGAAACATTATACTGACTGCATTTGCATGGATGAAAAAGTTACCATGAAAACTGGCAGCATTGAATAAATAAAATGTGGTCTCTTTGCAAAACTAACAATGCAAATGTATTGAGGAAGGAATGGGTATTCAGGCACTGATATTTCCTCACAAAATGTACCTGTAAAATTGTTAGTTTATAGAACTGAAACTGTTGTGACATGATGACAGCTTTAGTTGCTCAATTTTCATTCTGCTAGAAGATTTGTGGATGCACTGATATTGGTACCATTTACAGTGTTTAATTTGGAAGATTGATCAAAATACAGACTTGATTGTTTCATCTTGTCACTTATCAAATACCAAGAAACAATCCAAAAGTGGCTAACTTAAATCTCTTGTAGATGGAAACTAATTTTGTTTTTATGTTTATGTTGTTTCAAAATTTCACTCATTTGACTTGTTATTTAATTTGTGAATAAATTTAAACTTAACAGAACGTCAGTTATGGCTCAGTTGGTAGCACTTGCACTTTTGAATCAGAAGGTGCAGGATTCAAGTTCCATCCCAGGACCAAAATCAAAATCAAGGCTGACACTCCAGTATACATTACTGAGGAGGCACTGCACTGCTGAAGGCATCATCTTTCTGATGAGACATTGAATTAAAATCACAACTGCCTGCGCAGTGGATATGAAAGATCCCATGCCACTACTTTGAAGAACAATGGAGTAATCCGTGATGTCCTGGCCAATATTTATCCCTTAATTGACAATCACAAAAAATCTGGTTATCATCATATTTTTGTTTATATCAGTTAGCTGCCACATTTCCTACATTACAATGATACTTAAATGTCTATTGGTCATCAAAAGATGCTTTTCATGGTTGACTGGCATGTATTGACCCGACATTGGTGCTTTTTCCAATATTTCATGTGTCTCCAATGAGCTACATGCTACACAGTTATTCTGGATCACATGTAAAGAAGGGCTACTTGAGTACCAAACTTTTCAATGTCCCTTCACTTCTGAATGCAATTAAAAATTTGGACAATATCATCTATATAATTCTCTAGACAAATTTGGATAGGCAACAAATGCTGGCATAACCAATGACACATTCCAGGAACAAATAAAAACAAAATGCACAGACCATGACAGAATAAAAATGAAGCATAAAATTCTTAACACAGGTATCAGCACAAACATAAAAATATGTACATTGCACATTTATTCTGTTAATGCTTTAAAATATAATTTCAATACAACTTATTCATTACAATTTTCAACATAGAATGTATTACATAAACAGACATTTTCCATACTTTATGCACAACAGAATTACAGATTTTTGGTATAAGTTACACTTTTCACCAACATTTGAAGTAAAATTTCTACAAAGAATTGAGAAAACACTTATTTACTAGTCTAAGTATCTACAAAAATAAAAAGACTCATTTAACAGCAATGTTTTTACATTCAAAAGATTCTTTCTTCAAAAATTCTGACTTCTCACTACACATTTGTGGAGGTGATTTAAGCAGGCCCTTCTCCCGACTAATGCCTTGAATCCACAAAAACCAAATACTTCCACATCATATTTTGTGACAAGCACAGATAAAAGTCTGTTAAGGTAATAAGCACCCTCAAGCTCAAGATATTATTTGAATTTCAATACCCAACAAAGACACATTAATAAAGCTCCAACAGGTTTTATTGTGACTCATTTCTATGATTATTAAAACTCGTTCGTCTCAGACTTAAATCAACTTTCTTCCATTATAAATTCTTAGGTTTGGCCTTTGTGATGCAAATTGATGTAAAATTTATATTTATAATTACATTGCCACCAGTAGAGATTCTATAATGCTACCACTGGTAGGGTGCAGCTATAAAGTCGCAAGTTAACAGAAGAAGTTTTCAGCATAGAATTTAAGTTAAGAATTTTATAGTGGCAGGTATTAAATAAAGTCAGAATTGTACAATTTTAAAATTGCAATTATCATACACCTAAACACACTGGTCCAATTAACTCCATCCAGCCCACTATACAATTTCAACAGACATCAACTGTCAGCTTTCTATTCTCCATTTTTCCAAAGTGGGATGCAATGCACCAACAAGATGGAAAGTCCACAGGAACAATGTAGTGCAACTTTCTTCCTTCTGATGTTTCCAAACCAATTTACATTCTTTCTTCAAAACTACAGCCAACCCCAGAACTAGTTATGTGGAATACACAGGCTGTAGGTACAAGCCCATCTTTCTGTAACACAGCAAATTATCAACATCCTGCTCTAGCTCAAATTTAGAGTTCAACAGTAACGTTTATCTTTGAAATTGGGGAAGTAATGAGGACATACAAATCTATTCCAATCAATACTTTCTAAACTATATGAAATGAAACAAATGTGTGCATCTATCTTGCCAGAATGGGCTAGTCACATTTTTAAAGCCAGATGAGTATTTTGTTCAAATCTCAGATATTAATTAAATTGAACAAATAACTGTGCATACTGGAAATCTGAAATAAAAACAGAAATTTCTGGAGAACCTCTGCATCTGTGGAGAGAAGGCAGAATTAACATTGCAAATCTAGTGACACTTCTTCACATCAGAAAGGTCACTGAACCTGAAAAGTTAAGACTACTTTCTCTTCACAGGTTATTATTAAATGGTTCAACCATTCCACACTATTTTACTAATTTGAACCTTGAAACATTTATAACATAATAACCATATCACCAAAGGTGGATGTTATTTCAGTTCTCCTTGCTTTTGTTCTCCTTTAAAGGGAGTTAGTATAATTCCACGAAGATATTTTTGTGATCAATCTGCAATCACACAGTCTGGAGCTGATAAAGTCTTGGTCCCTTTTTTAACAAGTATCCCTGGTCATTCAAAGAATGGATAAATCCTTCAAAGTCAGACACCTGCATATTTAAACACAAAAATAAAGTTGAATAAACATTTTCTATGGTGTGGTACATTCTTGTAACATCATACAATTACATAACACCTCTAATATACAAGGCATTCCAAGGCATTTTATAAAGAAATACTTGCAGAGCCTATGGACAGTTATTGAGAACTGACTAAAGATTAGCTAAAAAAAAAAAAAAGGGTTTAGAGAGTTTTTCTTTAAAAAAAGGACAAGAGCATAGAGGGGAAATTTAGTGAGGAGATTCTAGAGTAGGACCAAAATGACAAAGCTTTGGCATCAAACGTGAGACAAGGCAACATGGAAAACAAGAACCTGAGTTAGAAGATCACAAGTGTTCGAGAGGTCTATGAATGGGGGCGATGGAAGGGGAAGTCAAGAGGAAGCAAGAATAATAAAGGAGAGAAGAGAAAATCAGACCAACTTGGATTTACATTAACACCATTCACAATCTCAGAATATTCGAAGACACCCAACAGCCAACGAAGTACTTCCAAACTAGAAATAAAGTAGTTCCAAATTACCTGTATCTGTATTTCTCTAGCTAACTGCTTGAGTTGATGGAATTCAAAGACAGTCTTATAAGTCTGTTCTGCTATCCTGTTCAGAGCGGCCACAAATCTTTTTGCCTGGGACCGTTTGCTCATACCAGAACCATGCTGCGAGCGTTGAAAATCCAATCTTCCAAACTCGTCAGAGAAAGTATCTAATAAGCTGTTAAAAACAATACATTTATTTTATGAAAGCAATTAAATCTAAGTTAAAGAAAGAAAAAGAATGGGGTAAGAAGTAGATTGTTGCTTACTTTACCAGGCTATGTAATCAACCTCCATTTTCAATTCTGGAGTACTCAAATATCACATTTTACTCATTTTTAAAAAGAAACAATCAGAAACATTTAAAGCTTAAATGCATAGTGTTACCTGGGTTAGAGATGGAATCAGAAGATGTCAAAAAGCAACGAACATTAATACCTACTCTACAGACCAATCTGAAAACCCAGAAGCAAATAAATTAAACAAAAGCATATTTGCATAAAGAACAAGTGTGGAAACAAGCTATGTAAATACAGTTGCAACAGGAAATGTGTTAGTGTAAATGGATTCTCATGAATTTTATTCAGTTGTAAAAAGACACTGTTAGAAAATGCTAAGCAAACCTAAGGGCCTGCAGTACAAGAAGCATGGTACTTCCATATTTCTATAAACTATTCATTTAGCAATGGCATAATGATAATGACACTGGATTAATGATCCAGACTTATGCTCTGGAACAGTGGTTCAAATTTCACCATGGCAGCCAATGGAATGAAAGTTCAATTAAAATCTGGAATAGGGAGCGAGTCTCAGTAATGCTTACCATGTCAACTGTTCATCAATTGTAAAATCTCTTCTGGTTCACTAATGTCATTTAGGGAAGAAAATCTGCCATCCATAACCAGTCTGGCCTGCATATGACTCCAGACCCATGGCAACATGGTTGGCTCTTAACTGCTCAAAAGTGATTAGGGAAGAACAACAAATGTAGGCCCTGCCAGTGACACTCATATCCCATGAAAGCATTTTTTTTTTGGAGTGTTCATTTTAGAAATGGCTCACAGATTGTGATACAACTGAGAGATGTTTTCTATTCTTCCAATCTGACCTTCTCACCTGGATTTTATGTGATGATCCGTGCACCATTCATACCACTCCTGTAACCTGTCAATTTATCCCCATTATTCAGATAAATCCCATTGCTGACAGAGATAAAGGTATACATATGTAAAATATATAATGATGATTTGGAACTTGTATTTTAAAGTAGAGGTGAACTAGATTTGTGGTTTCAGTTCTGGTGACTTTTTAAATAGGTCAGAAAATCATTTGGAACAGTAAACTAAAGACAATTTCCAAGAAAGCATGTGATTTCACTTCAGTGTCTAGCAGGATACCTGTGATATTAATTGACAAAGTGTTTATAAAGTTGAACATGTATGACAGAGACAGCAGACCAAGGGTTGCCTGTGGTTTTAGTTCAGTTCAGGAGAACAGTTCTACCATAGCAAAAGGGTTTTAATTTGTTAAGTCTCCAAATTCAGAGACTACAGAACAGTTTTTGAGCTGTCAAAATGGAAAAGTAGTTTAGGTCATCTGAACTGAAAATACTTCTCAAAGTCATCAAAACTAGAAATGGTCAGTTAAGAAACAAATTAAGAGCGAAGATAGAAGAAACACTTCACTGGAATAGAGTATCTACAAGGGAGATTGCTGAGAAACCAGTCAAAACTTTGTTTTGTTCCTTATACTGCTAATAAATAAATTTTTAAAATTCTCTTTTCTGGCAATTTAAAATCTCGTTTTTTCTGAATAATAACCTTGTGTTCATTTGTTAACAAACACTGGCAGCCTCGTCTGGATATGTCGAGTGACTAACCATCGCAATAACAATTGCAAAAATTAAACTTGATTTATTAAGTCTGATTTCACTTTGGGATCAAACTTGCCCAGTATTACGATCAACTGGAATCATAATAATGATCCAGATACTCTTTTCCAAATTGTCGTAAAGTTCCAAGCGAGATTTTGGTTTGGGTATTATTGGCTGGTTTTTGACAAATATCCTGGCCCTGATGAAATGCATCTCAGGGTACTAAAAAGAGGTGGTGGGGGAAATAGCAAATGCACCAGTAATTATGTACCAAAATTCACTGGACTCTGGGGTGGTTACCACAGATTGGAAAACAGCCAATGTGATGCGACTGTTTAAAAAAAGTAGACAAAAAGCAGGTAACTATAGGCCAGAGATAGTAGGAACTGCAGATGCTGGAGAATCTGAG